TTCCAAGGTGGGTAAAATGAGGAGCCAGATTGTCGGGGGCAAGAGGCTGATTCTGTGAACGGCTTAGAAAGGGCTGTTAGGCACTGTGAAGCGGTACATAAGTCTAAGTGCTACTGCTATTTCAATATTAGGCTGGGCTAAGATGAGCTGAACAAGTATATTGAGTATATTGGCCAGTTTTAAAACTTTTGATAGGTAATAAATACAATTTGTGGTATGCCACAGCACTAGGCATCTTTACGAGGAAGTCACCTCTCCCTCAATAAAATCAGAAGATTGTAATGTTCAGATGAGGACCATTAATGGGTTGGGGCCTCAGTCAAGCTACTGTCCTGATCCATTAAGGAACGGGCTTCTCACCTCGTAATTTTTTTTCTCAAGAGGTAAGATTTGCTTTAGGGAAATCAAAATGCATCACCTAACCACCCATGGATACACCTACTGTATCACTGTCCATCTTTTTTCAGGCTTTCTTTTTTTTTAAAAAAAAAAAAAAAGCATATGGTTCATTCCTGGTATTGTAGCAAGCTGACTTTAAATTTGACATTTATTCCATCTTAGGTTTGGAATCAGCCAAGCTTATGCTGTGTCTGAGTCTGATCTGGAGTTTACATGAAATTACTGTCTGGATTATTTAGTTCCCACCCCCAACCCCCATTCTGTTGGGACAGAAGCAACTGGCTAAGATTGCCTCCCTTGACCCCTAATTTGTCAGTTTCATTTGAGAAAAGAGGGAAAGAAGAAGTTAACACAGGAATGCTCAGTAGTTACATGTTGGCTGCAGTCATGCTTTGCAATACATACATACACAGCCCCTGTGTTTTCTGATTCACCAACAGATCCGATTCATGCTCTTGTCATTAAATAGGCCGATATCAATTTCTCATCTCTTGGCGAGATCAATGTGCACAGATGCCTTTGCGAAGTCACTTGGGGACAAGATCAACTTAAGAGCACCTTTGCCTTTACAGTTTACATCAAAATTGTACAGCAATTCGGTTACCCACTTTTTTTTTCTCTTAAAGGTGATAAGCAACGAAGACAGACTATGCGAAAGCAATCATGCAAACTTCAGAATCCAAAACAAAAGGGGGGGGGAGAGAATGTTGTTACTCTCAATACTGTGTTACTCTACACACCGGTTGACCTGAAAGGAACTCTTATTTTCTCCCAATTAATCTACTTTTAAGATATGTGTGGGAGGAAGGTGGTATCTTAAATTTTCTGGAAATATAGAAAAAGAAAGCTATACATTCTCTAACTTTCCTTTAGGGGGGAGGCTGATCTTACATTCAGTTCTTTTACCCCGAATTTCACAAGGTAAACTTTATTGTTGCTATTAAATCATGTGGTCAAACTGTGTTCAAGCTGGGAAAAGAAGGGAACTGCTTCTTGTTTCTTGAAGCTCTGCTTCTGGGCACCTTCTTTGCATGCTAAGCAGCCAGGTTTCCATCCGTGCAATCCTCAGTGGACAGTCTTAGGCATCAGGGGATGGAAGAAACCTCAGTCAGAGGTTAGTAAACCAGGTATCAGGACCAACTGTAGCCAGTTAGATGGAGAAACAGTCTGAGGCTTCTTCTAATCCTTCTCAACCTCTCCTGGTAGACTAAACCCCACCATCTTGTATACCAACCCCCAATCTTTCTGATAGCCTACCCTATCCTTCTCCTCCTGCCTCCTTGGCTGCTAACATCCTTGAGTTTTTGCTCTCTTCCTTGCCTGGAACAAAGCAGTTGTTTTACTGCATGCATGGACAAAGACACCTGAAATTTACATATTTTGATTGAGGCATAGAGTGTGTTTGGAATGTTTTTCTTGCTCTTGCTGGGAAAGGATCCTGCTTAGTGGGTCATTGCTGTTCGTGCAGGCAGGAGGGAGAGAGGTAGGTCAGTGCTATGATGTAATGATGCAGCAAGGCAAACATGGCGAATCTTCTACTCCTTTATTTTGTTATTTACAGTTAATCACCTGTCATCCCTGACTGCATAACAAACGAACAAGAGAAGGTTTCCTCTGGCTATCTCCTTGAGAGTAATAGTGGAACGGGCCCAGAAACAGGAGAAATACAGTTTTGTTTTTTTTTAGAACATACCAGAAATGGTGGTTGGGGAAACCAACTTCTAAACCTGCACCCTTCTGATAAGACTGACTTCTTCAAAATAAAATAACTTTCCCCCTTCTGGTTTGACATGGGAGCAATCAGAAGCAGTCTTAGTCATATTAGTAACATCTGTCTTAATGGAACATAGCTGTTTTTAGTCTGGGTATCCGTGTTTGTCAACCATGGCAACTGAAGATGTGTGGACTACCGTTCCCAGAATTCAAGCTTGCCGGGGGAGTCTGGGAGTTGACATGCATGCATCTTCAAGTTGTTACCGTTGAGAAAAACCGCTGTGTATCATCCAAACTCTACAGCAGTTGGAAAAATTGTCTTTAGTATGAGACAATGGATCTGAATTCTGTATCAAGCTGTTTCTGAGGATCTGCTGTAGAAGATACTACAAAGCTTGAACTAATCTGTGCCTTAATCTGGGTAACATCCTTAATCAACTTTTACTGAAGTGGCCTATTAAGGAAGTAGCAATTTTCTCTTCATTGTGCAGTTTCCTAAGATTATCTGGATATTCATCTTAAGAGGACAGGTGTAACTTCAAAACAAACCAAAGTAGTTGCATGGAAATAGATCTGATCTATTATGAATTCAGTGGTATTTCCTCTATAGTCATTTTCCAGCTTGGGTTAGGAGATCATGCATCCTTTAAATAGCCATTCCCCAGTTAGGTACCTGCCACAAGTGCTGGGCTTTTGGCCATGTTGATTTAGATTTTGGAGAACCATAATCCTAATTGGCTTGGGTGTTTTCTCTGGATGCAATTTCTCCTTCTCAGATTCCCTGTAGAGGTGATCTTAGACAGGGGTGTCAAACTGCTGGCCCGCGGACCGGATGCGTCATGGTGAAACTGCACCCACCTCATTGCCGGCAATGGAAAAAAAGTTGTGATATGTCGCGACACGCCACATGACATTGCAAGTTTGACAGCCCTGTCTTAGGGAAATCAGGAAGTGGTTCAGATGTGAAATAGACTTATTATTAGTCTTGCTCAACTATGATTAATCTGATAGGCAGTAAATTCAAGCTTACAGGAGAACATGCAACACTCTTAACAATATAATGTAACCTCAAAACTAATAATCATAACAATGCAATTAAAAACAAAGAAACAGAGGGGAAAGGCCTGGAAAGTTAGCTTATTTACTCCTTATTAGCTTATTTACTCCTTATTACTTTCAAAAAAAAGTAATCATATTTGCTGTTCCTTGTCCTTTTGCTGAAGAATTTTAAAAAATCACCTTTGAGAAGCAATTCATACAATTCTGTAAACGGTATTTGCTTCCTTTTTTATTTTTGATTTCTTCCCCTAACTGTACTACTGAATGATATCACAGCTTCATGCTTTTATATGTTGGCAAGATCTAGCAATTGAGTGATGCACAATACCAAATTTAGCATTTGATTCATTTATTTCATCAGTCAAGTCATCCAACATGCGATGTGTCAGCCTGAAAAAGTTAATGCACCCCTAGATTCATTGAGTAGTTTGCAGCATTCGAACTACAATCAAACCAACCTTTAATAAGCATTTTCTGAGGTGGTCCGTTACACAAACAACATTTTTGTTGTGTTTATCTCAGTTTAGGATCTCAGGAGACCAATTACACACTCTTTATCAGGAACAAGAACTTTTCCAGAGGTTATTCATTTTCTTTAAAATACAAAGCTTGGGACTTTGTTCCTCCAGAATCTCAAGCTTTCCAGAACCAGCAATAGCACAAGGGGCCAGTCAAGCTAAAACACAATTGCTGGAGCTAAAGAAACTGTCAAGAAACACTAGGAGATAAATCAAAAGGGTTTTTTTTTTTTTTAATTCTGTTTGAGCCAAAGTCAGTAGCAGCTTTCAAGTGACTTGAGTAAATCTGTGAGGCATTTTGGTTTCAGTTTACTCCCTTGAGCTTGGGACCTGTCATATCATTTTAATAAATACATGTAAAATAAAAAGATGTCTTTTAATTAGAGAGGGGAAATGAACTCCAGGAACGTTGTTGTTATAGGTGGTGGCCACAAATTCACAAGAGTTGTTCTAACCCAGTGGTTGTGGAAACAGGACAGGATTAGGCCCAGAGAGATGTCAGAACTGGTTGTAACTTTTGGCCTTTGGAGATTCATCATCCTGGCAAGCCCCAAAGGTGCTTTTTCAGGAGGCAAGTGGACTTCCTCGTTTCTCTTTGAAGACCTTTCGCTTCTTACCCAAGAAGCTCCTTCAGCTCTGACTGGATGGTGGAGAATGGAAGGATTTATATTCCTTGCAGACAGCTGGTCATTTGCATTCTTTTAGAGCAGACATGTGAAACACAAGGCTTAGGGACCAGATGCGGCCCGCGAAGTGGTTTCATGTGGCCCATGAAGCCATCCTGGAAACAGTGAGGGAACGGCCCCCACTGCCTTGGCCCTGGCCCAGGCTGGCCGGGAGCCAATGTACAATTTTGTGGTGGCCATCTATGCTGAAACGCATTCAGTCTTAGCTCCACAAGGCCGTCTGGAAACAGCGAGGAATCAGCCCCTGCTGCATCAGCCCCACCTCCTGGGTGCACGTTGGGGAGGTGTCACCCTTTGTGAGGAATGAAGAAATGGACCATGCCTTGGCGCTTGCCCCGGTCCCACCCCCTTCTGCCAGAGACCCTCAGATCTGTCCCACTCCTGCCCAGACCCCCACAGGCACCCTTAACGCGAACCATGTAGAGCTGGCCATGCCCACCCAGTAGGCCACACCCACTCCATCCACACCCACCCAGTAGGCTGCACCCACCCTGGCCCCACCCACCTGGTCCCCCCAAGGCAACCGCAATGCCGATGCGGCCCTCAATGAAATTGAGTTTGACACCCCTGTTTTAGAGAGTCATTGAGGCCACCTAGAGGTTTACCTGTGTCCTCAGGGTCACCTGAGTAGCGCAAATGCGTGTGGAGGCTTCTTGGCTGCAGGACCTTGGATGAGAAGTGAAATGTCTTCAAAGAAACACAAGAAAGCCCACAGCCGCCTCCTGAAAAAGCACCTTTGGGACAATCACGATGACCTGGATGACAGAGAACCTCCGCGGACATCCTGGCGAGCCTTTGCGATGGTTGAGAAAAAGCAAGCTGCTGACTCCTCTGTTTTCATTTCATCAGCCTGCAAATTGGCTTCTGCTACCAAGGTTACTCCCCAGCAGCCCTGAGGAGATAGCAAGAATGTAGAAGCTCATCCAAGGGAAAGCGTTTTGGAGAAGCCTCTCTGTTTTTCTGCAAAATAAGGCCTTTGTCAAAGGGGGAAACCCCTCTTCCCCCCCCCCTTCCTTTGGAGCTCAAAGCATTCCTGGACTCGGCACCTCTTGAGGTACACACGTTCTCCTTGCTTTTAAAATTCCTGCCTGATTTCTGCCACCTCCACCCTCTTTGGGGAAAGCAAAGGTCAAGTGCTGTGTGTATCTATGCTTGTTGTTGGGATCATTAAGACAATGCATTCATCCTGGAAAATCAGCTCTTCCCTCCATCTGTTGCTTGGTGCTGAGTGGCCGGCATTTAATTATCTCTGCATTTTCGTACCTTGCTTATGGGTTTCTGCCTTACTACTAACCCAGCGTTGATGTATTGAGTTGTGTTTGTAGGGTTTTTGAGAGCAGACTTCCTTTTACTGCCCGCAGGTGTGGTCTGTGTTTTGCATGAAATCAACAAAGAGTTTCTACTTCTGTAATGCCAATGAAGGAGAATATTGGTAGCTCAGGACTGAACTGAGGGGTCCTTGGTGCTATCTGAGCTTGCTTGTTTCCTTGCAGACATTTCATCACCCAACTAGGTAACATCATCAGAGCTAGAAGGGAGTGCCGTTTGCTGTCAGTTTATATTCTGCTGCCTTGCCTGTCTGTCTGTGTGGGTGAGGCCGGTCCTAGGGATTCTATTGATGGCTAAAAATGTGACAATCCTAGACCAGGCCAAATCCAAAAATGCCAGGGAATTTCTAGAAGCTTGGCAGACTGACAAATCAGCCCTCAAGAGACACATAGACATTAACAGCATCTATGGATTATGCAAAAGAGACAATCAAGCAGCCCAAAAGACAAAATACTCCAGCACCTCTCCACCAGTAATCAGCACTCAGATCAGCATAGATTAACTCCAACAATCAAGTAAACAATACCTGAATCAAGAAACTGCCAAAGAGCCGTTAGTAAAGGCTCCCAACCAAAGAATCCCTAAAGCTCCAGAATATAAACCAACAGCAAACCGGTCTCCTTACTAACACTGATGATGTTACCTAGTAGGGTAATGAAATGTCTGCAAGAAAACAAGCAGGTTCAGAGAGCACCAAGGAACACCTCCCTCCCTTATTTCTGTAATGATTCTTTAAATAGTCCATTCGATTGGGCTTTCATCGTTTCAGACTTTGGGCTGGGGGGGGGGAGGCTGACTCTATTGGCTTCTGTAGCTGCTTCCCAAGCATGGGAGTCTACTTTCCATGGTCTTCAGCCAGCGTGCTCCTTACATCTTAGTTGGTGAAGATGAGAGCTTAATCCAACATGTCCAGATTGGCTGTAACAAGAAGAGGCAAGGTCTTGTTAGCCTTTAAGGGCATTGCCTGCCGTGGTTAAACTGATGTTGAGGGAAATGCTATTTTACTTGATGTCCTCCAATGCTGCAGTTCTCTTCAAGGCATGGCCATCTGGGTCTGGTTTTGTGGTTAGAAGATATAAACTCCCCAACATATACTGTATGTTGCACTGTTTTGCTGCTGGGCTCCTTGAGGAAGGAATTGCTTGGTGTTTATGGCCTCTTCCAGCTGTCTTTTTCTTTGCCTCTTTAAATGTCATAATACCCTGAGCACCATAGGACTATTTAGCTAAATGCATGAAAATAAATCCGCATCCATCTCTGCTTAACATTATAACTGCAAGCTTGGGGCCCTCCACTTGTTGATGGATTACTATTGCCAGCAGCATCTGTGAAAATGATTAGTGATGGAGGATATGGAGGATGTTCTACAATCGCCAGAGGGCCACAGACTCCCCATCTCTGCTTTAGAAGTTGCATTTGTAATCAATGGCTGTCCCAATTTCACAAAATTCTTTCCTTGGTTTCTTAACGTATTAGCACAAGCAGATTTTCTGGGCATTGTTGAGAGAAAGCTTGTTGTGTTGCTACCTCTTTGATCTTTTCTTCCTAAGACACACTTTCTGATTTGACTTAGGGGCAATAGAGAGTTATCATCCTACCTGTGTTAGTCATCAATCTTTTTCAAATTTTCCACAATAATCTGGATCCACAACACTGTAAAGCACTGTGGGGAATTTACATGGTTACTTTCAATCTGTTTGTACTTGGTGCCAATGAACCTTGTACTCGCGTTGAGTTCTCACTAGCTACATAAGGATGCTATGCATGGATATCAGATGTAGCATCAATATAATTTTCATTGTTCCCTGTAAGTTTTAACATCTGAAAACACTGATATATATATATATATATTAAAAATTACATTAAAAATTGAAGAATAGCGATTCCTGGGTACATACATTTCAGTAAAAAAGGAAGCGATCACCAGGAAATAAAACACCAAGGTTTTAATAAATAAAATCAAGCTTTCGATGGCTAACATCTGCCATCATCGTCAGGATACGACTTATAAGCAGGTTTCCTCACTAACTGGCTTGTATCCTGACGATGATGGCAGATGTTAGCCATCGAAAGCTTGATTTTATTTATTAAAACCTTGGTGTTTTATTTCCTGGTGATTGCTTCCTTTTTTACTGATAGATAGATAGATAGATAGATAGATAGATAGGTAGGTAGGTAGGTAGGTAGGTAGGTAGGTAGGTAGGTAGGTAGGTAGATAGATAGATAGATAGATAGATAGATAGATAGATAGATAGATATAGATATAGATATAGATATAGATATATAGATATAGATATAGATAGATAGATATAGATAGATAGATAGATAGATAGATAGATAGATAGATAGATAGATAGATAGATAGATAGATACTAATAAAATAATACGCACTAGGAGTAGTGAGAAAAGTTATTACAGTTTAGATTAAGTCTTCTCCTCTTTTCTTCCTTTTTTCGTTCTTCTGTGTCCCAGGCCTGATTCACCTATGATGCTGTATAAGCCATGTTTCTCAACCTTGGCAACTTTAAGATGTGTGGATTTCAGCTCCCAGAATTCATGGCTGGTTGGGGAATTGTGGGAATTGAAGTCCATGCATCTGAAAGTGGCCAAGGTTGAGAAACACTGCTATAAGTTATGCCATAAGGTATTTTGGTTGAATATGTTGAGAAAATCCATCCTCCCCAAACACAGCGTTGGGATATCCTAGTTTCTTTTCACTCTGGCTTCTTCTCCTTTGCTTTTGTGCCACACATTTCTCCTAGCACCAGCAGAAGAAATGAAGAATCAATTCTAAAATTCAGCGCAACAGGCTCCGAGAACTTTGCCCATCTGCAAGCTTGAGCCTGGCTTATTCCAGGCGTGTTCAACCGATAGTAGTTAGAATAGCTCTTGGTTCAGCATTAGATACAAATGCAGCCTTTAACTCCTTCTCTTTCTCATTTCTAGGATGCTTCTGTGGTCTGGGATTGATCTACACCAACAAAACGTGCACCATGCCTCCCATCACTTTCCAGGACTTGCCACTGAACATCTACATGGTGATTTTTGGCACAGGTGTCTTCATCTTTGTGCTCAGCCTGATTTTCTGCTGTTACTTCATTAGGTGGGTCATGTTTCCAAAGGGAGTCTTGAGTGCAGATGGCAAAAGAGAGGAAACTCAACAAATGTGCCTAGGCTACTGGCTACAGTTGTGTGTTCTCTTGCTATTTCCAACTGAATCAATTACTTGAAAATATTGATTCTTCTTCAATCTAACCCCCAGTTAGACTGAAGAAGAATCAATACTTGCAGTAATTTTAAACCTCTTTGAATTGGAGTAGTGGATTTCAAACTTAAGTTCCAAAGTCAACAGTACAATTCCTGGGAGCCTGTTGTGGATTCTTCCATAAAATATTGGGTTGGGTTTATATAACGTACGAACCCACTCTTTATTTTAATCATGACTTACTAAGCAGAGGGTCTTTACAGTCTCAGGCAAAAGCTCTGTTGATTGCTAATCTACCTGATTCTTCTAAATGTCAGGGCTAGAACTGAATCTGGATATTTTTGCATGCAAAGGGGTTGTCCATGGAAATGTATGATCCTTAGGCATTCAGATCACAGGCTGGAGGGATCACGACATGAAATCAGCCCTGTTCATTCAGGATAATCAATTATGCTGTTCTTGATTTTGTCCCTCTTCTCTGCTGACTTTGATTGAAGCCTCCATTATGAAAAATGTAAGAACTGGTGGGCAGAACGATGGAATATTACAAAATTTTGCCCTTTGTTATATGTCAGTTATGCTAATTGGGTTAGATAGAGAGTGAATGTATCCAGTTCTGCAAGATCCCTTAGTTTTAATGTTCCCGAGGCAAATACAAAGTAGAAACTTCTGGATGTAATTTGGAGCCTTTTGTCATCTTAAATCAAATCTGGCTCATAAAATTTCCAGGGCAAATCCTGCTACATGCTGGCAAGCCATTTCTGGCTAAGCAAAAGATGTTGCTTCCGTTTAGTTTCCTCAAATCAAACTGTTGTTCATCAACACCCGTCCCCCCCCCAAATATACATAAACAATACAGTGGCTGGAAACTTGGTACAAATCTTAAACTGACAGTTCAAATGGTTGCTAAGTGGACAGTTGTAACTTAAAAACTTCCTGCACTGTAACTCAAGAGTTCCCCAAACTTTTTTGGCTTTGTAGACCAGTAGGGGGGGGATGGTTCTGCACAAGTGGCAGGCACGCACACCTGCCACTCTTGCAAATGGAGGATGCACACACGCTCGCCTGCCGCTCGGTTGTGAAAAGCTCATGGCCTAATAATGGGGCCGGGCCCAGCAGTTGGGGACCCCTGTTGTAACTTATTATTAGCTGGCAATACTACTCCTGAAAAATTACTTTCTTTTCTTTGCTCACTGATTTAACTGGACCGCTGTAAGGGATAAGCAACTCTGCTATCCATATGGTTTGGATTTCAAGTCCCACCAGGCCTCAAGGGACTGTAGGAAATATGGTTCAAATCATCTGCACACACATGCATTCTTTTTCCCCTCTGTAGCTAATTCCATCTTTCTGAACTTAAAAATTCCGAAATATTTTCATCATCATTTCTCAAATGAATGGTGACTTCGTCGTGAGCCTGGAGTTGCACACTTAAACCTTTCCATGGATGTAATTGTGATCCAATCCTGAGAATAATAGCCAGCCATTTCAGAGGACCGATGCTGGTTCAAAAATCTCGCAGGAAATGATAGGAAGTTGGAGGAAAGGGTCTCATTCCAAAGGCTGGGATAGATCTATTGTCTCTATGGAAGATGTACTGGCTCCTTATCTATTTATGGAAAGCTTATTTTTAAACTCTGCAGTCATCTGCAGCCAGAATGTCTAGAAGGAGCCTGGTGAATGACACAGAACTGCTGTCTTCCAACTCACTCTGGAGCTTTGGGACCACAGAACATTAAATGGAAAGATACAGGAGAGATGTCAGGTTTGCCTTTTTCCCAGCTAATCAATGAGTATTAGCGCTCTCTCTCTCTCTCTCTCTCTCTCTCTCTCTCTCTGTGTGTGTGTGTGTGTGTGTGTGTGTGTGTGTGTGTGTGTCAAGGTCAAACTTCAGCTGTTCTACTTTTGAAGTATCAACACTGAGTTGTCAGGCTAATAAATCATGACTGAAGTTTCCTCAAGAATATTGACTGCTAGCTTTTCAAAAGCTGTGTTGCTCTGTCAGGGGGCTTAGAGTGGCTTTGGTTCCTCAGCTCAGATCTTAGGACTTGAAAGTGGATCAAGTGGAGACTATCTGTCTCTAACCTGGTATCCTTTGAATGCAATTGGGCTGCAGTTTCCCCAACTGTGGATGTTGCAATCCAACTGTATAATGCACGCTGCAGAACTGTGTCGACCTGTGCTCCAACATCTAAAATCTGATATCAGCACTCTCATTCCTTTGGTTAAGAACCGCAAAGTTCTTCCTTTTTCTCTGATCGTAATCCATATGGCTGAAAGCCCAAGGTGCTCATCAAAATGGCTGGCCTTTCATCCTAAAGTAGGAAGTGGAGGCACCTTTTCCCTCAGAATGCCTTCCAGATGGAAGCTGTTGCAGGGAAGTACAGATTATGATTTAAATATGCAGAAGGTCCCAGATTCAACCACTGGCAGCTGCAATTCAGTGTCTCAGAGAGCAGGTGATGCAAACAAAAATAGACGGTCTTGCTCAAGATGGACCGGTTTCCTGGACTGATGTAAGGGAGCTTTATAACTCTGTAATATAGCAGGATACATCTGTGCAGGCAATGGAACAGCCAATGCACATTTATCCTCGTTTCCCTAAGTTCTGTATGCCAAATAGACCCACAATGCACAAACAAAAGCAGAGAGGGAGGGAGATCTTATCCAGCAATCCATGGTGAAGAGAACCAAGGGCAAGACTCTACTTTGCTAGCTGTGATATCATCAAGATCTGCTGGAATAAATACAGTTGCCACATCCTGTGCTTCTGTCTCGAAGGATTGAAATTCCCTGCATGAAAAAAACATCAGGAGGCAGGGAAAGTGCCATTTCTGGAGCCAAGGGTGGCAACTCCCACCTATCTCAGCAGTTGTTTTGTGTTGTTTGCCTACTTTATTTGCTAATCACACAAACAATGCAGGAGAAGGGCATTCAGCATGCTTGCATTGTAGACATCCCCAGTATAGAATTTTGCTAAAGAATATATATAACAGAATAACAGAGTTGGAAGGGACCTTGGAAGTCTTCTAGTCTAACCCCCTGCTCAAGCAGGAGACTCTATACCATTTCAGACAAGCCCAGTCTCTTCTTAAAAACCTCCAGTGTTGAGAGCATTCACAGCTTCTGAAGGCAACTCGTTCCCCTGATTAATTGTTCTCACTCTCAGGAAATTTCTCTTTATTTCTAGGTTGGTTCTCTCCTTGATTAGTTTCCATCTGTTGCTTCTTGTCTTGCCTTCTGGATGTTTGAAAAAAATAGGTTGACCCCTCTCTTCGTTGTGGCAGCTCCTTAGATATTGGAAAACTGTTATCATGTCACCCTTTAGTCCAAGGGTTCCCAACCAGGGGTGCTCACACCCCCTGGGGGTGCGAGACGATATTCCAGGGGGTGCGAAACTTGGCTTTTCAAAATTATCGTGTATATGCATAGTTTGTTGTCATTATTTCGAACTTTTGTAAGGGGTGCGAGAATATATCAGAAGTGTTCTAGGGGTATGGACTTAGAAAAGGTTGGGAGCTGCTGTACCTAGTCCTTCTTTTCATTAAACTAGACACCTCATTGTACGCTTATAACCCTTTTAACACTAAGTAAACCAACTATTGCTGCTTGTATCCTTCCTCATGGATTGATTAACATTTTAGATGTGAGTAGGTCAAAACATCTCCTTGGCATACAAAGGTGCCTGATCTAATGCCCAAGACCTCTAGGTATGGTTGGGAAAGCTGAAAAGCAACTCTGAAAGGTGCAGTTACTGTCAAAGAAATGAGCTGAGTGAAACAATCCTTTGAGTATTTCTCAAACTCAGTTCCATAGGCCAGGTATAGCACTCATCCCTTTGGGGCTACACTTAGCGTTTCCAAAATCTTACTACTCAAGTTCACTGGCAACCTCCCATCTCTACCCCCAAAATAACTCTGGTGTCCCCACTCCACCCCCGACACGTTTACTGCTAAAATATGACATTTGTAGCTAAAAAGCCAGTTAAAGAGACCATTTTCTTTTGAGGGAAAAAAAAATAAAAAATAAAGGTTGATTGCACCTCCTCCTTTAAATTTTACTGGTCAGTTTCAGGATGAAACATCAGATTATTCATCTAGATTATTCATTTAACTTTCCCCCCCAAAAAGCTGTTCTTTCCAAAGCTGCAGAACGCAGCTTTTGGTCTGCACTCTCTCTCTTTTTTTAATTTCCTTCAACAATCCTGCAGCCTCACAGAGCAATAGTTTAAGTTCTTCTTGAAGAGCCATATCAACAGCGTCAGTGTTTTGTCTCTTATCCTGCCCGATCCCAGTTTTGTGCAGCTTGGGCACAAAGGAATCTCTGTCCACGCCGAACAGAACGATGATTCAGAGTCGATTTTCTGCTTCCCGCAGCTCAGAACAACTGGCTTGTCTTCCTCGGCAGCAAATGGACATTTGTCTCCTGCATAATGTAACTAAGCATTGACCCAAACTTTCAAGCAGCAGAAGAAATGCCGGGTTCACGGTTAACACACTTGGAAGCTTTAACTGCCCTGTGGCAGCTGATTCTGGCAGCGTAAAACTGAAGAAAAGCCAAATTCTTGCTGACTCATCTTTAGCCATCACGTTGGCAGTTATTGGGAGGGCACGGATAGTCCATGCACCAGATGCTATCAGCTATCAAGAGGTGAACATCAACCACCTTCTTTTTTAACCTTAACGGAACTACTCCAGCCGTTGTCTCTGGAGGTTCTCAGTCATCCAGGTCATGGTTGTCCCAAAGGTACTTTTTCAAAAGGCAACTGGACTTTTATTATTTTTCCTTCCCCTCCAAGAAGCTTCTTCAATTTTTCAGTTGAACTGAAGAAGCTTCTTGGATGAGAAGCAAAGCGTCTTCAAGGAAAAACAAAGTCCAGTTGCCTTTTGAAAAAAAGAACCTTTGGTGTATTAAAAGAAAAGTCTTCGTCCTGGTTCATCCAAGCTGGGGATAAACATGGCAACTGCTTTGGGAAGAAGGTTGTAGTTATTGGAAAGAAGAGCCAGACAGGAAGATGGTTCTGGCAGCAAGAGAAGTGGGAAAAAAAAGGGCTGAGCACATGTAGGGAGTGGATTTTTATACCCTCTGGAGCCTTTTGTTTGGAGTTGTTCCTGTGGCGTGAACTTTGACCTGAGTCCGAGTATGCCTTTCTGGTATTCTGATGGTGATGGGTCAATCTTATTATGTCCAAAGGTCATATCCTGCTTCCCTGGGGCTGATGACTCTTAGAGTTTAGATGGGGTATGTAGATTTTAGGTCTTTGTCTTCTTAATCTCCTAGCTCCCTGGATTTACATCTGCATCTCTATAGAGCTGGTTTCTGCTTGGGGCTAAGAAAAAGTGGGCATGCTTTCCTGTGTTTTTAAGATCCTTTGAGGAAATATATTTTTCTGCCCTTTTAATATTTCCTTCTCTGGAGGGGCTGACTTCCCACAGGTGCTCCAGCCAGTTGTAGCAATTGGTCTCCATCTGGATGTTGGTTTGTTTGTTTGATGGCATTTATAGCACTTCTGAGCTGTCCCGCCCAACCCCCCACCCCACCCCACCCCGAAAAATGAGATTCACAAGTTACAGGTAGCCCTTGAGTTACAAAAAGTTGCTTAGCAACCCTTTGAAGTTCCAATGGATCTACTTGGGGGGAGGGGGTTACTTACGACTTGGATTAAAAGTTCTGATGGTCACCACCACCCCCTCAATCACTCTGGGCATTTGGCAGCCAGGCCACATTTACAGACCTTTGCAGCATCCTGCAGTCACATGACCGTGTTTTTAGGATGGTTTTGCTGAAAAAACTGGCCTTTATTTCTGGTTTTCAGCAAAACTGGTCCATAGCAAATCACGGGCTGGCTTAACGACTGTGGTATTTGCTTAACCACCACTACCCCTTCCAAAAAAAGGGTCACATGACCAACCCTCTTTATGACCATCACCAATTCCAATTGCGGTGGGCAGGCTCCATTATGGTCGTAACTTGAAGACTACCTTTATAGGCAATACATACTGTAGATGCATATGCTTCTTCTTAAGAGCTCTGATATTTCATGGTCTATTAGCCGTATAAATGGATGCAAATAATATTGCAACCTTAACGATAAACATAGAACTCTTTGACTTCTGAGGTCCTGCAGGTTGCTACTAATAGCAGAGGAGCAAGGTGCAAATATAAGTAGACAAATGTGTGTTTTGTTCCAGCCACTTCCTGCTTTGTTTTGTTAGTTTGCTTTCCCACCACGAACCGCAGGGTTTGTGGATAGAGTGGAGCTAGGAGCAGACCTGGTGTAAATAGTAGCAATAGATTGCTACTTTGCAGTCATGAGCAACTGCATTTACAATATAAAGGTAGCCCTTCACTTATGACCACAATTGAGCCCAAACCTTCTGTTGTTAAGTAAGGTGTTTGTTAAGGGAGTTTTGCCTCATTTTACTAACTTTCAAACCGGTCAGTCCTAGAGGACATCAACCACAACTGCTCTTTAGAAGGCCAGATCTTGAAGTTGAAACTCATATATTTTGGCCACCTAATGAGAAGGAAGGACTCACTGGAGAAGAGCCTAATACTGGGAAAGATTGAGGGCAATAGAAGAACGGGATGACAGAGAATGAGGTGGCTGGATGGAGTCGCTAAAGCAGTAGGCGTGAGCTTAAATGGACTCCAGAAGATGGTAGAGGACAGGAAGGCCTGGAGGAACGTTATGCGTGCGGTTGTGATGAGTCGGACACGACTTTGCAACTAACAATAACAACGCTAACTTTCTTGCCACAGTTAAATGAATCACTGTAAGACGGTTGTTAAGCGAATCTGGCTTCACCGTTGACTTCACTTGCCAGAAGGTCACCAAAGGGGGTCACAAGACCCTGGGACCCTTCAACCATCACGAATACATGCCAGTTGCCCAACATCCGAATTGTGATCACATGACCGTGGGGATGCTGAAATGGTTGTAAGTGTGGAAAATGGTCGTTAAGTCATTTCTTTCAGTGCCGTTGTAACTGCCAAGGGTCACTAAACAGGATCACCTGTACTATAAACGCTCATGATCTGTAGTTCCTTTGGTTCTCCCTTTGCTTAATGGTGATTTATCCCTTTGAGTCTGTTTCCTGACTCGGAGTCTGCCCCAGAAAAGGAAAGGAAAGGATCTCACAACTTTTACTTTCTGTTGTATATCTAGCCATTATATTTACAATACCGCAGTCCGAAAACATGTTCTCCGGCATTTTTTTATAAAATCCATTATGATGGTTCCTGTATAATTTGCCTATAAACTTGATTTTATTCGTGAGCAATTGCTCTGAGAATTGGGATTAAATAAGGCAAAATGCATATGGAATAATAATAGAAGTCGAAATAAATCAGGGATCGTCTTTTCCATGCTGAGTGCGTACTATTACTAAACTGAGGAACACATTCTCCTTTTTTTCTAAAAATTCACAAATGTCTAATAGGATGTTTAAACCCACAATGGATCGTAATGCTGTCATCATTGGAAAACTGCAATCCATTCAGCAATATTTGCCATCAGGGGAAAGTAGCTATTGAAAGCAGGGTGGGACTGGATATATATTTTAGTGATTTTCCATGACAGATGGCAAAATCGTCAGTTACTGGAACAAAAATGTTTTGCCAGGATTATAAAAACTTCAGGCTAGCTGGTACCTCCTACCATATAAAACAAAGTTTTCAAAGGCAAAAATGAAAACCCACAATCTAAATTCGGCAACTTCCAAAGAAACTCTTGTTTCCAACTTTAGTAGCATGGCAACAACAAGAAAAAGTTTTGCAATCCTGAGTTCCAAAAACAAGAACCGTCCTCATACATCAGGCAAATTGGAAGCGTGCATTGATGGTTATTAAAATTGTTCCATATTTTTTTCCCCGCAGCAAACTTCGGCATCAGGCACAAAGTGAAAGATTTGGATACAAAGAGGTAAATGAGCAATTTGAGTCATTTTCCTTTATTTATTTTTTTCCCTTTCAAGAGAAAGGCTTTGTTTACAAGCGAGCCTAAATGTCACCTCCTTGGCATAATGTAAGAGTTCTGTTTGTAATTTTGAGATGCAAAAAACCATTGCATATTTGTCTTTAAAAACATCTGGCTATTCTGACCTTCCTCATGCAGTTGGTGCCTGGGATTGGTTTATTTGCTTGTTTATTTATATTCTGCCTTTATTATTTTTATAAATAACTCAAGGTGGCAGACACTCACAATATTCCTCCCTTCTTCTGTTTTCCCCACAACAACGTTGTGAGGTGAGTTGGGCTGAAAAAGAGAGTCACCCAAATTCACCCAGCTGGCTTCACAATGGGTCGGATATGACTTCACAAATAACGACAACAAAGCCCTGCCATTCAATTGCCTCTAATCTATCATATGTAGGAAATTCTGAAGCTTTTGCAGACTACCTGTTTCAGAAAAGGGAGTATGTTCACATTTAGAAACTCAGGCTACATAGTCAGGATCTCTTTAGCATGGTCTCTTTTTCCCCCCACCCCCAATCTGCTGCTTTCCAGACGCAGTGGGATTACAACTCCTGGAATTGTGAAACTGATATTGACTATGCAGAAATGATTAAACACCGTTTAATATTTAGAACATCGATAAAATGATCTGGCTAGCTTAGGACAAGAAATCTCACGCATCCTTTTGGGGGAAGGGGCAATTTGTCCTGCAACCAGCTGTGCTGCAAAACAGAGCCTGAAGAACCATGAATTTCAAGCAACGCGAGGACAAGATCAAAATCATGGACTCTGCTGGAGGGAGGGCAGGAAGGCTTGAGAAGTGAGAAACTCAAATAATGCAAATGTAAAGAATTGTATCGCCTGGGCCGGATCTCCCCGGCTCGGAAAGTGTGGTTGTGCTGCGGTTTCTGCATCAACCAAAACTGTTCCAGTTTAGCAGCTGCGCTCTTTGTCTTTGCAATGTTCAATGGGATTAGCTGTTTTGGTCATTCAGCACCTGTGCTCCGATCCTAATCTAGTACCTTCCTTCCTTCCTTTCAGGTGGTTTTGAAAGGTGATGCCAGAAAGCTAAACTTACACGGGGTGAGTAAAACCACCGAAGAATCAAAAGAGTTGATTTCTCAGCAATAATGAAACCAAGACGTCCTTTCATGTATTTACGGTTCAAACATATACAGGTGTGGTTATGCAAATATATGTCTGCAGGAGAGAGCTTTGTTGTGAGTTAGCTCCTGGATTCTGTCCTGGCCGTGCAATATTTTTTTTTAATAAATGAGATTAGGAGAGAGAAGGGATGTTTAGCAAATCGGCAGATGGCCCAAAACTGGGGACAATTGTTAACTTCTCAGAAAACAGGTTCAAAAAGATTTTAATAGAGCTTAATTCTGAGTCCTTTCCAGCAAAATGTGATGAGGAGAAATGTATGGCACTGCACTTAAAATAGGAAAAAATGAGATGTGCAGGTACCTGGCTCAACACAACCATATCTATGGCCGTTTGCAACATGCAGGGTGAGATGAAAAGCATTTTACAACAGTTGTGCTGAAAACTAGCACAGAGTTTTTTTTGGGGGGGGAACGCACCATAGCAAACAATAGGTTTCCTTAATGACCATGGAATTCATGCTTACAACTGCTCCATTCGCTTAACAATGCAAAAAACGTAGTAAAAGGGTAGTAATCTTTTACTACTGTTGTGACTTACAACCATAATGAGCAGGTTCCATTAAGTCCAAACCAGAAGATTATCTATGCAGTGAGATTCATATAAGGAGGACATTTCTGAGACCTATTAAGCAGCAATAGGTCCAGCATCATGGAATCATGGGTGTTCCATCACCCTGGTTTTGAAACAATAGTTGGACAGACATTTGTTGGGGATAGTTTGAAAATTTCTGACTTGGACAGGGAGTTGGACTAGAAGACCTTCAAAACCGCTTCCAATGGTATGATTCTATCACTCCATTTTGTGACCAGCTAACAAAGCAAAATCCATAGCAGAAAAAAAAAGAAGACGAAACCCAACATGCCAACATAGTTGACAACATGAGCCGTGGTGGCGCAGTGGGTAGAATGCAGTATTGCAGGCTAACTCTGCCGACTGCCAGCAGTTTGATTCTCACCGGCTCAAAGTTGACTCAGCCTTCCATCCTTCCGAGGTCGGTAAAATGAGGAGCCAGATTGTTGGGGGGCCAACAAGCTGTCTGTAAACCACTTAGAGAGGGATTTAAAGCACTGTGAAGTGGTATATAAATCTAAGTGCTATTGCTATAGTTGAGTGGAGAATTGTATGTAGTTGAGAAAATTGACAAAAAAAAGATCACACGTTGGCATCTCTAGCTTAAAAGATCAGAAAGCTCAGGGTCAGGCAGATTATACCCAGGTTATATGTGTTATTCCTTTACAAGATATCTGCTCTCCCCACCAAAGAGAGTCTGTTGCAAGAAACATAGGTTATCTGAACAGCCTGTTTAATCCAGTTATTGAATTAACCTATTTTCTAGCCTTTCCCAATACATTCCTCTAGCAGAATACACCGAGTTGCAAAAAGCATAATCAAGGTTAACACTAATCAGGCTTAAGTGTTGTACAAATACAGCTACTGCTTCTTCACCTGAAAAGAGTAGGTAAACACAGGCCACAAAGGATTCTGAACCTAGGGTAGTTGTTTTTTCTGAACTCTGAAACTGAATGCCTTTTATTGTCTTTCCAAAAAAAAATAATAATGATCTTCTGATGACCCATAAAAGCAGGATAATTTAGGAGGTTAGTGAGATTCATATTATTACCACTACTGTTGAAATCAGAAATCTTCAACAATCTATTGCAAATTACTTTAGATTTAATCAACCTTTGAGATGGTAAATGGTAAGGAAAATCTTTTCCAGAAACTTGTCAAGAATTGTTGCACGCTGGAATCCACTAGCCTTCTCCAACTGATCCATATTGGAACTGCCATGTCCAGAATACCCAACATGACCAAGCTAGTTGGACATTCTAGATATGCAGGACCCATAAACATTAAACTGGGAAAGGTTGGGTTAGAATGATAATGCTGACCCATAATCAAATACGATAGAAAACAATTTCCTAGGACTATTTGAGCTATAACAGATGTTCTCCAAGATCTATACAACCCCACATTCTCAGAAGGTTTTATAGACTGCAAAGATAAGTTTCTGGACTGTGGAAGACATATTTGTAAATTGGTGTTATTGAATAAGCCCAGATAAATGCTGACCTGCCTTGATAGCCAAAGAACATTGAACTGTGAGCTAAGTAATTTTGCATCCAACAAATCATGATTAGAAGCAAATGACTCAGCAGAACATTGCCTCTTGATAACCCTTCTATTCCAAGGTTTTCCTTCTGTTTCCCACAAAAGTATTGATGTTTCCCCCCCCCCCAAAAAACAACCATAGTTTGCTGTGGAATCTACAACAGGTAAGCATGTGTAATTCCTGCTTTGAGGGGTCCTTGGTGCTTTCTGAGCTTGGTTGTTTTCTTGCAGACGTTTCATTACCCAAACTTAAGTAATATCATCAGTGTTAGTCTCTGTTATGACTAGCGTTGATGATGTTACCTAGTTTGGGTAATGAAACGTCCACAAGAAAACCACCAGGCTGAGAGAGCATCAAGGACCCCTCCTTCCAGCTCTGAGCTACAGATATTCTCCTTTATTGATTCCTGCTTTGTGATGTTTGCCCGTTCTCTTCTTCTCCTCCTCCTCCTCCTCTTTCTCCCGCAGCAGACTTGTGCCGTCTGCCTGGAAGACTTTAAAGTGAAAGATGAACTGGGAGTGTTGCCATGCCAACATGCCTTCCACAGAAAGTGAGTAGATGCCAAGGACAGCCCCAAAAAGCTGCTTTGTGCCTCTCATCTTGGCAAGCAGCCACGGTATTCATTCAGCATCCGCCATGCCCGTGGTGGAGAGAAGAGGGGGTGGGCGCCCGGGATGATAAAGAGGGAGGCTATTTGTTGTATTTTGAGATATTTGAGCCAAGGGACAGCAAATGGGGAAGGAGATTAAGCACAGACCTGAATTAAATGGATAAAAACCTATCAGAGCTAATTCATCACACTCAAGAATTGTGCCAGGTTGCTGTAGCCAAACGCCTGAAGCAAACACTGACGCCAAGAACATCTAGGCCTAGGCCTATTTTGTCTTCAGAGTTCATTTGAATTGGGTGGGGAGGCGTTTGGACTCAGCTCCAAAGTAGAAAGGATGGGCAAGTTGGATTGTGGAAGAAAAAAAAATGTTCTTCTTAAGGCAGGGGGTGAACCATTAATTTTCCAAGGAGCTGTATAAGGAACTGGGACTGTTGTGGAGGGATGAACCAATAGGGCTGTGGGAAGGTGCATTAGGTACGCATGCACGTACATACATAAATTAAAACAAAAAGCAAAGCAGCAGTATCCTTCAAAATAAAAGCAATCCACATGGGCCAGGCAGGGGGAGTCAAAGGGCCAGATGTGGGCCGGGGGGGGGCATAAAATGCCCAGTTCTCTTCTAAGAGAATACAAATCTGCATTTTCTGCTTCAGGACAGGTTCGTGCTTTGCGTGTATCCAGCAGATCCAATTTAGAACCCATATTTTTAGGGTGAAGTGTCTATGGAGATTCTCTGTCATCCAGGTCATGATTATCCCAAACGGTGCTTTTTCAAAAGGGCAACTGGACGTTTTGCTCCTCATCCAACAAACTCCTCCAGTTCTGGCTGAATGATGGAGAATGGAAGGATTTCTATTCCTTGCAATCATCTGGTCGTTAGTGCTCTTTCTGAGAGTCATTAAGGCCACTTGGACGTTTATCTGTGCCCTCAGGGTCACAGATTTAAGGTGAAATAATCCAGTTTTGTTGTGTTTTTAATTTGGTGTCCCACTTCTTCTCCACAACAGAACTCAAAGTGACCCAGGCGGATGTTTCCCATCTTAGCACATACCAGACTCAAACATGCTTAGCTTTAATTACTAGCAAGATCAGATGTTCTCTTTGATATCCATGATACTGACAACAGCAGCTGGGGAAGGGGCTTTTCAGTTCACCCTCGTCTGAAACCAGCATGGATGGCTGTTACTTTCAGCTTACGTGGTTTCACGTGGAAGTCCAGATATGGAAGATTTAACCAGAGCATGTCCACCTATTATAATAAATCTTGCTCCTGTCTCTTTTGTTAAAAGGAAGAGAACGTTGGCTAATTGCTGGACTAAAAGCAGGTTGAGAGTAAATTACAAATTCATTTTAGGGTTTTCTTTCCTTCCTTCTTTCCTTCCTTCTTTCCTTCCTTCCTTCCTCATCCATCTTATAAACCAAGTCCTGACAGCTCCCAATCAAAAGTAAAAACATTATAAAAACCATAACAAAACTTTAAAATTAAAACACATTAAAAACAACGAAAATCTGGTGCCAAGCCATATCACCTCTTATCCCAGCCCTTTGGGGGGGGGGGGGCGAAGCCATGTCTTCAAAGCTTTACTTATTTATCTTGCCCACTTTCTCATCTTTGGTCCTTATTCCTATGGATTTTTTTTCCTCTCATATGCAGTCTCAAAGAATGTGCAGTGGAATTTTGTCCCAAGGAGGTAACAAAGTTTGTCCATCTCTGGAATTCCAGCACCTGCTGCACTGGGAAAACTTAAAGAGTTAAATGATAGCATGTTTCCTGAACATTTTTTTTTCTGACTATAGCCAACCTGGGCCTATTTTATCAGAAACTTTCTATGTTCCAACTGGGAAACCTTAGCTATGTGCAGCTGACTTTTTCAGAGCCATCAGCACTGTCATTATTTTAAAGCATGTTTCTGGGCCATCAAAAGTTAAAACACATGACTAGCTTGCAATTGGGCCTGCTGGGCTGAAAGACCTTTAAAAATGTTTTCTTTTTGGACCAAAAAACCTGCCCCTAATGCAACAGTTCATGTGCAAATGTGGCTGTTTCAGTTATCTGTTTGACCAATTTTTGCATAAGGCTTCTCAGCCCTTTGAAGTAAAAAATCAGAGAGAAAAAATACTATAAGGAGTATTAGAACTCTATTTTATTGTTGTTAGGTGTCATAACAGAATTTCCTTCTGCCTTTTGTATATTAAAGAGAATCAAGATGGGGTTATCTTGAATTTCTTTCTCATCTACTCTTCTTTCCCAGGACCAAATGCACTCAATTATTCTTGCATTCCTTCTTCAAAGTTAGCTTCCTATTTCTCTAGAGGGCTGCAATATGTGGTTTGCAGTACTCTCTGCACTGGTGATGTTACCTAGTTTGGTAATGAGACGTCTGCAAGAAAATAACCAAGCTCAGTGAGCACCAAGGACCATCCTTCCTCCTAGTCTCTTTATGTATATAATATAGCTAAATAAATCCTTAACTTCTAGGAATCATCTAATCAAATTAATAAGCTCTTTACATTTTGCTGACTGACCGCACAGATTTTCTTTGTCGAAAAAGCAAATACTGAATTGATATTCATCTCAAAGTAAAAATGGCATCTGATGTTCAGAGCATTTAAATACATTTTTTTTTCTGGGATAGTGATATAAGGAAGAGAGAATAAAATGGTAACATTAAATTCTGGGCACAGTCATTTACTGATGCTGGGTAAATCTAATCTAACCTGTACATTGGCTTCCAAAACGTGAGGCTTAGGGAATTGTAATGCAATACATTTGAGATCAGGAAATTAAGTAAAGCTGCTGCAAATTAAAAAAAAAACAAGAAAAAAATACTCTATAAATACAGTACCGTCATAATTTAGCCTTTCAGACAAAATAACGTAATGTTAATGTGTCACCAAGAGCAATATGTCTTTGGGAGCACTTTGATAGGCTGTGGCCCAACATCAGTTAGCCCAGGTAAGTGTAAAATTGGGAAGGGATGCTGATCAGAAAGAAGATGCTGCTATAGGGTCTTCTCGGAATGTTAGTTAAGCTAATAATATTTTCAAATTATACCTCCCCGTCTCTTTACACTCCTACCCCTACTTGGGCTGCAGGTGCCTTGTGAAGTGGCTAGAAGTTCGATGCGTTTGTCCCATGTGCAATAAACCTATAGCGGGTCCCTCAGAGCCTCACCAGAACATTGGGATTCTCCTGGATGAACTAGTGTGACTATCTTCCTGCCCACATTTCCCCACAAAGAGCCTTTACTGATTATTGCCTTGGGATTGTGGGCTTCAACAGTCTTGAGATGGTTTCCAAGTGGATGTTCATCTTAACCTTCTTAGAAGGCAGCGTGGACCGTTCCGAGTGCCAAGGTGGAAAGCAAGCTGGCCTTGTTCTCCATCTACCACCTGGGAGCCATTTCTGGGGAAGACTGATCAGAACTGCAGGGGAATCTCTATTTGGGATGACTAACCAACAAAGGACTTGAAACAAGAAAGTCTGAACTTTCCCAGGATGACTCTGGTGAACAATTGAACTTCAGTACCAAGCGTCCACAACTGCTTGTTGTGATCCAACTGTGAGATCAAAGTCTTCCCTTTGTCTAGGGCTTGCTGGTCCGAATGCACAGATGGCGATATAGCCTCTCTGATTTCTAATGAGCCCTTTCTTTTTATAGTAAGTCAGCTCCTGCCATTTGGGCTGTCTCGATTTCTGCTCCTTAGGGATCCCTTCTGCAATTTGAAAACAAGAGCTATTGCTGGCTTCGGCTAGGCCCTTCTCTGCAAAATCTACAGTGTTTACATAAGACTTAAGCAGAAAGCCTCCCATGGGCTGCAGAAGGAGCACCAATTCAGCTATACACCACTGACCCAGCAGAGCTGCAAAAGAGCCCCTTCTTTTCTTCAATATTGTGGAGAAAGGGAGCACGTTGTGGCATTTGGGTCACCCTAGAGGTGGCAAACAGACGAAGACAGGGGCATGAAAAGGGAGAGAGATCAATCCTTTCTCTTAGATTTCAGAAGATGAGTGAGACTATTTTCGTAAGTGGCCTTCTAACTTTCTTTTTGCCTATTCTGTCCTTGTATAGAAAAATTAAAAAAAAAAGTACTTTCTCTGAAACCAGACTTTTTTTTTTTTGTCCTCGTTTGATTATGTGTTTGCAACATGAGTAATCCACTTAGCAGGAAGGGGGGGCTGAAGGCAACATGGTAGATTAAAGGGTTGTGGAAGCATTGTGTAAACATCCCTCCCACATGCATACACAAACGTGAATGTACCTATTAGGGATATGCATAGCTTCAGGTATGATACCAAGAAGATACTCTGGAGCAGTGGTTCTCAACCTGTGGGTCGGGACCCCATTTGGGGTCGAACGACCATTTCACGGGGGTCGCCAAACAAGGCTGTCCGCCATTTTTTCCCCTTTTCTTTGGCCACGCCCCTGGCACCCGGTGATATATAAGTGGTTGGGGGTTACCACAACATGGGGAACTGTATTATGGGGTCGCGGCATTAGAAAGGTTGAGAACCACTGCTCTGGAGCATATGAAGGTGAGAACATAGCTATGCACACAACTTTAATACCCGTCCATCCCCAGAGATAGAAATGAAGCTCAGCTCTCAACATTTCCTACCTGAAACTTTGGGAAGGTCCTACAATTCTGACTATATTTGCATAACACACTGACAAACTAAACACATTTTAGCCTAGGATGTTTTGCAAATTCAACCTGTGATGGGTTTTTTTTTTAATTTAACATAATGTACAATTGGATTAACAGACTAAACTAAGGTTATGTTAATCTTGTTTTACAAACAGCTGTTTTCCTCTAGTTGAGGTCAACATCTCTGTGGGCACTGGGAGTCACGCAACATATAAATTTGAAGAAATAAACTTTCATTTTTCTTGTCAACAACGCAAAAGTGTTGATCACTGCTGCTGCCTAGAAATTTTTTGAGATTTTCAATTAAAGTACTTCCCTCTTTAACATCCATGAAGCTGAGTTAAATGCTGTAGTCAGTCATGACTACAAATTTGATCCATGAGAGAACAATGCAAGAAATGAATCTAGGGGAAAAATGTCTTACAGGCTTGGTAACAGAAATTGGAGCACAAATGCTTAGGCACTAAAACTTAATGGAAGAACAAACTATGAGAATACATCCAGTGACAGAGCATAAGTCATGAAATTCCCAAAAACAATATTGTTTTAGAAAAAAAGGTACAGAAGTGGATGAAAGAAAAATCAAAACAATAGGGTAGGGATATATTCGATTATACAGTATGTACCGTATAAAGGAGAAGAAAAATAGAAAATTCAGGACTATAAATTACAGATCTAGATGCTCTTCAAGACTGTTTCATGTGAACTTGGGATCTTCAGCAAAACCTTAATAATAAAAAAGTCTGCTTAATACTGTGTTAAACTTTAAATTGTAGGGATCAGTTCTGTTTTACTCTAGATATTACACTGTATTGTTAAAAAAAACCCTAAAAGACATATAAACATGAAACGCAGACACCTCAAACAGGAAGCATGGTGAAGACTGGATGTGACCGTCTTTAAATGAAACATGGAGATAGAAATTCTGATACACACACACACACACACACGTACATACTCAGGAACACAGGCGCAGAACCAGAGGCCGTATATCTTAAACTGCATTATCCTGTGTATTGGGACAAGGGAATTGCTTTATAACCATGTTAAATTTGTACTGGGTGTTCTGTGCAGAACAATGAACATGGCAAAAGTTATTCTCTCCTGTTATCCTCCCCAAAACTTCAGATAGATTTGATTGATCAATATCCCCTGGCAAAATATCAATTCTCCCCTTGTAATTGCTAGAAAGCCTAATGCAGATAATAGCATATCTTCCACACTTTTTCTGCCTAAATGTAGATGCTTTTCTTTCATTACCAGTAGTGCTTAAGTCTCCGTGTCACCATAAGTTTTTGTTGTTTTAAAGGATTTGTATAAATACAAATGACTCATATAAAGATACCCAGTCATTTCCAGATTAAGCCACATTTCCCTTGGTGACAGCTTGGATTTACTGGGTCCTGTTGCACCCATCGTGCTCAGAGAAGCCACAGCAGCCAAAAACATCAACCAATTCACACACTAAAGAAACAGTATGAAGATGGACACAACCACAAGCACCAATAATCAACTAATTCGCATGCTAAAAGAAACAATATGGACACACGCACTAAAAATCAACTATATTCACACACTAAAACAAACAGTATGAAGATGGACACAAGCACCAACAATAAACTAATTCACACACTAAAAAACAATATGAAGATGGACACAAGCACCAACTAATTTGCACGCTAAAAGAAACAATATGAATACATGCACTAACAATCAACTAAATTCACACACTAAAACAATATGAAGATGGACACAAGCACCAACAATCAACTAATTCACACGCTAAAAAACAATATGAAGATGGACACAAGCACCAACTAATTCGCACACTAAAACAATATGAAGATGGACACAAGCACCAACAATCAACTAATTCACACGCTAAAAAACAATATGAAGATGGACACAAGCACCAACTAATTCGCACGCTAAAAAACAATATGAAGACAGGCACAAGCAACAATAATCAACTAATTCACAGGCTAAAAGCAACAACATGAAGATAACACAAGCAACAGTCAACTAATTTACACTAAAGAAACTATGAAGTTGAGCACAATCAGAAAATATCAACTAACTCACAGGCTACAACAATAACACAACCCTATTTCACAGCTGGAACAGCTCCCTAGGTTCCGATCAGATGGGTTCTGTGCCCCGTCGTAACATTTGGGACGGCACATCTCACGCATGCGCATGAACACCCCACTCATCACATGGAAGAACCTGAAGGACCGAAAAAAAGACGCCGGAAGCCGAGCTAGCAAAGCCATTCCGATGGCTTCCAGGTTATGATGAACCCGCTCTTAACTACCTTATCTCAAATTTCAGTTCCTGATTTAAAAATGCAAGCAACGGTCCTCGTCCCTCTTTCTCTGACCCTTTGTCCGTCTTGTTTCTCCCACAGAAACCAGAATCGGGCGCTCTCATTACCTATGCTAATATATTCACCAGCAGCCCCGCCCCCAGATATTCTTGGCAACTGGGGGTCTGCTTTCAAGGCAAGGGTCCGGTGATTAAGGGGAGTCGGAAGGGTCAAACCTTTGCAGTTCTAGGAAGGAAACTCTGCCATAGAACCAGCTTCGACTGAGGAAAGCGACATAGGAAAACAGTGAAGAGAAAACGGCGGCGCCACCGAGAAGGCCGGACGGATGCCTAGAGAGAAAAATGTAGACTGGCCCAAAGTCTCAACTTCCGGTCAAATCCGAAAGAATCTGTTACCACAGTTACGGACCCTGATTCACGAAGAATGAAAAGAAAGTGCCTCTTTTCCTTCAGTTTGGGAATAAAGGCAGAACGTAGAGCGTGCGGTGGCCGCAAGGTGCAGAACTACCGCTCGTCAGAGCCTCCTGACCATTCACGTAGCCCTTTCTTACCTCTTGAGGAAAGAAGATTAAACTTCCGCTTCCGGCGGAAAGCGGAAATCCGCATGAATTTTCGTTCTGCTGCAGTCGGGCCGCTTCTGCGGTTCTCTCCCGCGGGCATCGTAGGGCGGAGGCCTTTCTGACGCCGGATCTGTCACCGGCTCGAGTCCCGATGGCGCTGAGAGCGATTCGAACTCAAACCCAGGAAATCCAAAGAAGGAAGCCGGAATTTTAAAGTTCAGAGAGAGCCGGGACGGCCAGGCCGGGAGTCGGGAGGAGAATCAACGGGAGAGGCCGGGAATCGGTGCAGAGAGGGGCCGCGAGGCCTTCGCAGGCCGCTATGTCCGGGCGCAAGGCCCGTCCCAGCCCTGCGGGGCAGCACCCCTCGCTGGGTCCCGCCAAGGGGAACCTGGGCGACCCCGCTTCTTCCCCGGCAGACCAGGCCCTTCCCCGGTTCCTGCGGCTTTTTGGAAGCGGGGCGCCCTGCCCAGCCAAGCTGGGGCTGGTCAGAGACCTCTCCGCCCTGCTGGAGGCTGCGGACTCTCGGTGGCTACTTGGGGCCGCCCCAGCCCTGCTTCAGGAACTGGTGCTTGCCCTGAACCGCTACGCAGCGCCTCTCCAGTGGGAGCCCGAGGGAGGACGATCCCCCAGTGAAGACCCTTCTGGGGCGGCAGGAGCTGAGCGAGCAGCAGAAGTCAGCCTGGTTTTCTGCAACATCCTGGCCAAAGTAGAAGAGGCGAAAGATTTGGAGGGGTTGGACTCTGCGGGGACTGGCGCGATCCTTCGCCAAGTGGCGGGACCCATCTTCCTCTGCGCAGTGACCCATGGGGCAGAGAGGCCGTGGACCCGGCCCAGGAGTCAGCGTGGGGCTCAGGAGCTCTTGGACACTCTGTTACGTCTTTTGGGATATAAGTCGATACCCGAATTCCTCAGAGGTGCACATGAAGGCGAACCTGGCTGGTTTGGGGTGGTGATGCAGTGCCTGAAGCCAGAGCTGACCAAGTGAGTCAGAGCCCCGTGTTAATCTCTGGAAGGAAAGATACCGGTCCCATTGTAGCCTAGAATAAAATCTGAAATATTCTTCAGTAATCTCCTAACTGAACCTGCCAGTGTGATTGAGCTTTTAGATCAGGACAGGTGATTTGTACAGTTTTGCTTTGAAAGAGATCACTGAGAAGAATTACGGGAATGATGATTTAGGATTAGAAGTTACGCCTTTTTTTTTCTGGGCTAGGATCACGCTTGCCTTCAAATGTTCTGCCAGAAATTGTCTTCTTAAAGTGGACGGGGCCGGTGCTCAGAAGTGAATGTAATCAGAACAAATGGAGTTTTGATTTTAAACTGAAATTGGGTGAGAAATCTCTAGATTGATAATACCACATAGAAAAATGAATATGGCAGTTGAACATGTCAATCGTGTTTTATAGTTGCTAAAAAAGGCAAATGTGGTTCTGCATCAATACAAATAAAATTCATATTTTCATTATTTTCTGCAGTGGTTAAATAATATGGTCCCTTTTAAATACATTTTCAGAAAACATCAGAGAAACTGAAACAGGTTTCAAAAAAATGGGTGATCTCTGGACTAACGAGAAATTGAGAACTGGATGTTTAGGCTTGAGAAAATTCAATGAAGTTGGAATGCGATTTCAAAGTATCTGTGGGAACATCATCCATAGGTTCAAGACCTGTCTGTCTATCATCCCTGACAGGAGGATTCAGAATAGTAAACTTAAGTTATAGGAAAGCAGGGTTGAATGTTAGAAAAAAAAACTTCCGACAATGAGAACAGTTTGACAGTTAATCCATTGAAACAGAGATTGGACAGCCATTGGCCAGAGATAGTTTACAATAATTTGATTTCCTTCATGCCTACTGTGATTTTGAAGCCCAATTAAATCAATTTCAAATAAGTAATTATTTTGGTCTTCATCTTGGCACTATTACCACCTTCAAATGTAATGAACTCCATGGAGAAGCAGTCCCACAAGTAGAGCTTTAGTTCACTGACAAAATCGGTTTTCAGGAAAAATAGGAGGCTCTGCCATCTCAGGTTAAAAGAGTCATGTAGTAAGGGGTGGGGAATTCTCTTTGTCTAACTCGGCTATCTTCTTTCTCTGATTCAGAGAAACATGGCAGTGTAACCCAGCAACAAAGTATATGTTTTGCTTCGTGCTCCAGCAAGTTCAGAGACCTTGGCTTGGTGATCACCTGGAAAAAGTTCTGCCACCTTCACTACTGCTGTCAGATGACTACCGAGTAGAAAATAAAATTCTGGGTGTACAGTGCCTACATCATATTATTCAAAATGTGGTAAGGAGAAACTGCATGCCTACGCCAATTTGCCCTTTTCCTGCAAAAACAATGCAGAGGCCATAGTCTCCTAAATCCTCTCCAGACAGATAAATTACCTGGGAGATAAATGGCTATCAAATCTCACCTGATTAGAGCAAAGAATTATTCTCTTATATCAGCCTGAAGCAGACACAACTAAAAACATTAACATGATTTGAAAAGTGTTTTATGGCACTGAAATAGTAGTGAGAATAAGCAGCATTAGACAGATAATACAGTTAGTCTTTGATTTAAATCACCTATTCAGCTCAGTTTTTAACATCCGTATTTCACTAACTCAGTGTCTGTGAAATGGAGAAGATATGTTTATGGCTGATACACATAATGGGGATAACATGCATAAGCAGGAGCTAATCAGTATACAGTATTAATGGAGATATTGTTTTTATGCACAAAAGAACTTTATGCACTCTGCTTATTTCCACATGACTCTTCCTCCTTGGAGCAGGAGTTTAAATAAGCAAAAGGGAAAACAATACGCAAAGCCTACCGTATAATCCAATGCTCTACTCTAGCCTGCTTTGCTAAAAACTGTGATATGAAAGCCTCAGTTGCCTGTTTAGTGTCTTTGTAGTCTTTTTCACTATTTAGCATAAATATAACAAAAAGGGAATGATATTAACAGTGTATGTGCATGTACCTGTGTAAATTTTGTAATGTCAAAAAATGATTCTGTTGCATAACAGCTAAACATACCTCCAGCTGAGATAATCATATGGATGTACTCTTGTTGCAGCCAGCAGCTGTCCTCGGCCAATTGAATAGAGTTCAGGTTGTGTATCATGCTCTCTTTAACCATCTCTACAGCAGAGAGGCTCAACTTGTGCAGGTAACATGCAGCATAATCCTCTACAGCAGGGGTATCAAACTCGCGATGTCACGTGACGTGTTGCGACGTATCATGACTTTTTTCCTATTGCCGGCAGTGGGGTGGGCGCGGTTTCATCGTGACACATCCGACCCACGGGCCTGTACCTCTGCTCCATAAGTATTTATTCAAAAATAACTCATTGATTTCAGCTGGGCTCATTCCTTACCTAAACAACCCTAGAATAGGCAGCCTTAACTTTGCTTTCACAAGCCATCCCATCCCAACATACTCCAGTCATACGGTAGAAGAAACGATAAATCTTTAGATTGCCTGCTCTCTTCTCAACACCTCTATTTGAAAATGATCAGTCCATATTTATCATGTAACTGCCGTTGGGCAGAATTTGGACCCATTGAAAGAAATGCCCTGCAACTGTGCTCTTTGTTGACGTAAAACTTGCTTGTTCTTTTGGTTGCCCAGTTAACCAAGAGTTGTACGGAGCATGGCATTCTTTAAAACAAGGCCCACTACGGTGTTTGCTGAGGCGCAAAGCTGAATCTTGGATTGGTTTTTTTCAGAATGGGTAATGTAGTCATGCTGTTTGGTTTTTAATTTTTGACTTTCCAGAGACTCTGTGAATTAAATCTGGGACTTTCTGCACATAAACATCTAAGGAAAACAAGTATTTGAGGTTCCATTTTAGTTCTGGGTAATTGTGATCAAGGTCTATGCCAGCGATGGCGAACCTTTTAGAGACGGAGTGCCCAAACTGCAACCCAAAACTCACGCATCGTCGGGTGCCGGG